AAATGTTTAAATTAGCATTTTTCTGCATTAGCTCAGTGTCAGATTTATGAAGGAAGAATTTTGTTCATACATTCTGTTGTGTTTCAGAGATGTTTGAATCTTCCAGCAACAACGTTTGACGTTCCAAACAAAATTCCCATCATTTTGAACACCTGGCGAGTACAATGCAACAATTCACCTGACAAGTAACAAATCGAATGTTGGCTGCTTTGAGTTCTACTTTAACATTAAAATGTATTTAATAATTAGCCATTGACTGTCTCAACTTCAGCCACTTAGGCCCAAAACTGCAGAACACCATCCCTGATCTCATCATCTTGCATCCTCACTGTCATCAATTGAAACACTCCTTAAAAATCTACCTTTTTGACCAACAATTGGCTCCCTATCTCAATGTATCATTCTATGGGTCAGTGTCAACATTTGTCTGATTTTGATCCTGTAAAGTGTCTCAGGCTGGTCATTAAAGATGCTATACATATACACTATTGTTGTGGTATTGGAGTGTGAAAGATGATCTCCGCTTGTCTCATGGCACTAATAACAATAATCAGTTTATAATGATTCAATTGTTCCTGAACTGTCCAACCTTCTATCCTTCTTTTACATTGGAGTTCATTCAAAACATGGCTGCCAATATCTAATCTCAATCCACAACCCTTTTGCCCCTCAGGTGTCCTCATATCTGTGTTGGTTCCCCATTCCTCAACATCCAGCATTTAAGATTCTCATTCTAATTTTTTTCATGGCTTCACCCTTACCTATCTGTAGTGATTGAAACGAGGGCCAGGGGGATCCATTGACTATGAAATCCTTGATTAGGGTTTTTAACCTGGGTCAATCAGGGAGACCTTGCTGACAGATATAAACAGGAGATTCAGAGAGTCAACAACAATAACAACAACAAAAATAGAAGTTGCTGATAAAGCTCAGCAGGTCTGGCAGCATCTGTGAAGGAAAATCAGATTTAACGTTTCGGGTCCGGTGACCCTTCCTCAGAAGTGTCTGATCTGATTTTTCTTCTCAGATGTTGCCAAACCTGATCCTAGGGACTTGCTCTAGGCTAGCTCGTCATGCATTGTGCATATGTAAATAAAGTGTGACTCGGTGATGGGATACCAGTCTCTGTGAAGTTATTTCAGTGGTAATGAGAGAAAACAGTACATGCCTGAAGAACATTTGCTCACAACTGTCATCTTGGAGTTGGGGTAAGCATTTGTGGCATCATGCCTTTATTCGGGAAGCTTGACTCGTTCAATCCTGTCATCGAAGACTGGGCCATGTATGTGGAAAGAATATGTTATTTTTTTCTGGGCAATAACATTGGGCCAAACAAAAAGTGACAAGTAATTCTCTTCCGTTTCCCGCACCTCAGCCCTCACACCCCTTCCCCGTAATAACAACAAAGACAGAATTCTCCTTGTCCTCACATATCACCCCATCAACCTCCAGATTCAACGCATCATTCTCCGCCACTTCCGCGACCTGCAATCTGACCCCACTACCAAGGATATATTTCCCTCCCCACCCTTATCTACCTTCTGGAGGGACCACTCTCTCCACGACTCCCTCGTCCGCTCCACACTCCCCGCTAGCCCTACCACCTGCGGCACCTTTCTGTGCAACTACAAGAGGTACTACACGTGCCCCGACACCTCCCCCGTCATCTCCATTCCAGGCCCCAAGAAAGCCTTCCACATTAAACAGATGTTCACCTGCACATCTGCTAATGTGGTATATTGTATCCACTGTCCCGTTGTGGCCTCCTCTGCATCGGGGAAACCAAGCAGAGGCTTGGAGACCGCTTTGTGGAACACCTACGCTCGGTTTGTGACAAACGACTGCACCTCCCAGTTGCGACCCACTTCAACTACCCCTCCCACTCCTTGGACGACATGTCCATCCTGGGCCTCCTGCAGTGCCACAACAATGCCACCCGAAGGCTGGAGGAACAGCAACTCATATTCCGCCTGGCAACCCTGCAGCCCAATGGTCTCAATGTGGACTTCACAAGCTTCAAAATCTCCCCACCCCCGACCTCATCCCAAGACCAGCCCAGCTCATCCCCGCCTCCTTGAGCTGTCTGTCCTTTCTCCCACCTATCCGCTCCTCCCACCTCACTGCCTAAACCCCACTCCCACTTCCGACCTACTTGCCTCATCCCCGCCTCCTTGACCTGTCCGTCTTCTCTCCCACCTACCCGTCCCTCCCTCCTCATTGACCAACCCCCATACCAACTCCCTACCTACACTCACCTTTACTGGCTTCATCCCAGCCTCCTTGACCTGTCTGTCTTCTCTCCACCTATCTGCTCCTCTATCCACCTTCCATCATCGCCTCCCCCTCTCTCTATTTATTTCAGAGCCCCCTTCCCCTCCCCCATTTCTGAAGAAGGGTCCAGACCCGAAATGTCAGCTTTCCTGCTCCTTTGATGCTGCCTGGCCTGCTGTGTTCATCCAGCTCCTCACTGTGTTATCTCAGTAATTCTCCTGACTGCTTGCAGACCTGCAGCATTTTTGGTTATTAGGAGCCTAACTTTCCCTGAGGCACCAAATACTAAAACCTTTTAAGAGTTGAAGGGTTTAGTTAAGGAATATTATGACCTTGAACCTCCTTCTAATTCTGAGATGCTATCAGTTTT